CTGAGCTTTTCTGCTCAAGGCTAGCACTCTACCACCTGAGCCACAGTTCCACTTCTGGCTTTTCAGTGGCTAATTGGAGAGAAGAATTTCTTGGACTTTCTTACCCAGGCTGACTTTGAACCACGACCCCCAGACTTCAGTCTCCTGAGTAGCTCAGATTACATGTGTGAGCCAATGGTGCCTGGCACAAAACACGTTTATAGCAATTATATACTAAAAAATACAACACTAATGAAAAAATAAGACCTATGGAAAGACATACCATGTCTTGACCTGGAAATAATAGTGTCAGTGTAAGCATAATGCCCACCTTTGGTCCTGGCTCCGCCCAGAGCTCCTGCCAGCCCCGGAGCTCCTGCCACACAGCTGCCCAGACCCACCTGAGCTCCCACCCACCTCACTTCCGGCCCCCAGACCCTCCGGCTACCTGGGTAGGGATGGTGCCGCGTGCTCCCTCTGTGGGAGATACGGCTGCTCTGATAGCCTGCCTGCCTCCAGGAGGCCAGGAGCAACGGTGGGCATAATGCTTTCCTTCAGTCCTCCCTAAGTTGATCTAATGTATGGCTGTAATCAGCTCCTATCAAAAGGTTTTTGTATGCATATACTGGGGAAAATATTTTCAAACCACATATCAGGTGAAGGCCTCTAGGGCATATAACTCAACAGTTTAAAAAATAGACCAAAGACCCAATGAATTTCAAGAAGAGGGTAAACAGATTGCAAATAGAGATGAATTATAAAGTTCATTAGCAACTAGGAAAATGCAAATTGAACCCACAATGTGATATGATCACACACTTTTGGGAATGGCTAAAAGAGCAACAGCCAGGTGCTGGTGGCTCACGCCTGTCATCCTAGCTACTCAGGAGGCTGAGGTCTGAGGATTGAGGTTCAAAGCCAGCCCGGGCAGGAGAGACTGTGAGACTCTTATCTCCAATAAACCACCAGAAAACTGGAAGTGGAGCTGTGGCTCAAGTAGTAGAGCACTAGCCTTGAGCTGAAAAGCTCAGAGACAGTGTGCCCAATTCTAGCAACTGAGGAAACTGAGATCTGAGGATCAAGGCTCAAAGCCAGAAACCAGAAGTAGCACTGTAGCTAAAGTGGTAGCCTTGACCAAAAAAAAATCTCGAGGACAACATCCAGACCCAGTACAATCAGACAGACAGACAGACAGACAGACACACACACACACACACACACACACACACACACAACTTAGAAATACCCAGATGTCCTTTAGTCAATGCATAGTTATGCAAACAGTTCATTGCACAATGGAATATTACTCAGTAGGAATGTCAATGGTACTAGCAACAGACTAGGTGCAGCTGCAAGTAATTTGGCAGAGTGAGACAAAAAACAGCCAGTCCTAAAAGCTACATTGCTCGGGTTCGGGTATGGCTGACAGTCTGCCCAGGGCTGTGGGCTGGAAGCTTGTTCCTCCTATAGCAATGCTGAGGTGGAGGGAACTTTAGGAAGAAGGGTCTAGTGAGAGTTCTCGCTGGCATCCCTGTGATGTGCTGCTAACTATAGTAAATGTTGTTCTACAGAAACAATTGTTTATGAGAAGACAAGCCAATGGTCATACATGTCTGTAATCTAGCGACTGGGGAGGCAGAGACAGGATCATGGTCCCAAACTGACCCAGGCAGAAGTGCTACCTAAAAATAAGCAAGAAGGAAGAAAAGAACGACAGGGAGGAAGAAGGAAGGAAGGAAGAAGTAATGAAGGAAGGAAGGAAGGAGAGGGAGGAACAGAAAGAAGGAAGGAAGGAAGGAAAGAAAAGAAGGAAGGAAGAAAGAAAGAAGGAAGGAAAGAAAGAAAGAAGGAAAGAAAGAAAGAAAGAAGGAAGGAAAGAAAGAGAGAGACAAAGAGAAAAGGGAAGGAAGGGGACTTGAGATGTAGATGAAGTGGTTAAACATTTGTCTAGCAAGTGTAAGACCAAAAGTACAGTCAGGAAAGGAAAAAAAGAAAGAAAGAAGGAAGGAAAGAAAGAAAGGAAGGAAGAAAGAAAGAAAGAAATGAAGAAAGAAAGAAAGAAAAAGAAAGCCCAACCCTTCCCCCCCACCCCACTTTGGCTTCTTTTAGGTGAATTTTTTTTTTTTGGTCAGTTGTGGGTCTTGAACTCTGGACCTGGGTGCTGTCCCTGAGCTTTTAAGCTCAAGGCAAGTGCTCTACCACTTGAGCATAACACCACTTCTGGTTTTCTGGTGGTTTCATGGACTTTTCTGCCCAGGCTGGCTTTGAACCGCAATCCTCAGATCTCAGCCTGAGTAGTTAGGATGACAGGCGTGAGCCACTGGCGCCTGGCTTTTTGAGGGAATTTTTACCAAGATCTTGACCTTCGAGCCTGTGGAACTGTGAACTAAACAAATCTCTCTCACAAAGTTACCAGCCTTAGCCATTTCGTCATCATAACAATGGCCTAACAATGCATTTAGGTAACCTTCTTGGAAAGATCTTTACAACTGGAGCACAGCTTGGAGGCTGTCAGCCCTGACTAAAGGCATGGGGACCGAGCAGGGTGCCGGTGGGGGCTGCAAGAGCATCACAGGAGGGCATTCCCAGAGTTGGGGTTCCGCACCCTCAGCATGGTGGGGGCCTCGGGGCCTGCACACAGGACATAACTTGGGAAGCTAAACCCAGGCACTAGGGATCAAGATGGCCGAGGTGGCCTCAGCCCTGCGTGTGGCTGCCACGCATCTCGCTGGGAGAGCGGCTTCCCTCCCATCCCAGGAAGGGTGCTGGTGAGTCCATACCATCTGAAACAGCCTCATTCCAAGAAACCCCTTAACAAGAAACACCTGTCCATTCATTTGGAAATGACGACTTTCCACCCTGGCTTGCGCTGTATCAGTGCCCTCAGCCCAGCATCTTGGATCCAGGCCTGGCATCACGTGTGGAACGTGACCTCCACAGGGACTTGTGCACACTGGGGTAGCCACATCGTGGGGTCACCACGGCTTCCTGGTGACTTCTTGGGAGTCACTCCAGGGCCCAGTTTAACATCTAACTCTCACTTATGGCTAAAGCTGTGGTTCAGGGTGTGTGTGTGTGTGTGTGTGTGTGTGTGTGTGCGCGCGCGCGTGTGCGTGCCTACGCGCACGTGCTTGGATTTGAGTGAATGTAAGGCCTCATGCTAGGCAGGTGATCTACTGCTGAGTCACACCTCTGGCCCCTTTTTTTGTACTGCTTATTCTGAGATAGAGTCTCACTTTTTACCCAAATGTATGCGTGGCCTCTCATTTCACTCTTCTTCCTTTCTTCCTCCTCCCCCTCCTCCTCTTGTTTTTGGTGACAGTCCTGGGGCTTGAACTCAGGGCCTGAGCTTCTTTTGCTCAAGGCTAGAGTTTCAGTAGAGCTCCACTTC